GTATTGTGGCCTTGAGCCAGCGCTTCCTTCTCTGGCCCCTTGTTCCCTAATCAACTGATTGAGAGATTACTGACTTGCAGCAGCAGCTTAATTGGCAACAACTGCCCTGCTTCCGTTTCTGAAATCCAACATTATGTATTAGACTTTGGTCTTTAAAAATCACTTGACATTTCTGATTTTGGTGGGAACTGTTTATCTTGCTGAGTAATGCTCTTGTGGTAGGTGACTTAAAAGATCTTAATTTGGTTTCAAGGGACTCCACATAAACATCTGCTAGGTGAATGGTGGTGCAGCAGTAAACTACACTCTGAGGCTGATCCACGTGGGAAGGTTCTGGGTTTGCCTCTGGAGACCTCCCCAAGTACTCCGCATGGCTGAGGCCAGGAGTGGACTGTGATGGCAAGACCCTGCGCGAGGGGTCATATTTCTCTCTGCTAAGTAGCAGTCTACTAATTTTATTAGGTCGCTGGGAGAGTCATGACGTATTTTTCCATGTTTTTCTATGCAAAAGTGTATCATGACTTTCCCGATGACCCAATAATCAGAACATCCTCCCTAAGGCCTCCTCGGCATGGCTGAAGGGTGAGCGTAGTACTGCACCTCCATTCTCCTCTCCGGGTGCACACACGTACACACGTACCCTCTCTCTACCCTGTATGTATACTTGAGCTTGAAAATGTTTAAGGTGGAAAACACGTCTTATGTCCCTATTCCCAATTTAGCCTGGCATGACGCCCTACAATAGAGAATGTGCTTATTTTTCAACTGGGCGTCTCTTTTACACAGGGACATGAAAATGTAGTGTCTAAGTAATGGCTTACATAGGGATACTGCAGAAACCAGAGCGTAACTGAAGTCTAAACTTTCTTCTTCCTATGTTCATTAGCTCTGTGACTGGTGACGCTTTTTCAGATTTAGCTATTTTGTAGAACAAGGCATCGCGAAGCTACTCATGACGCCCTGTACTTAAAAAGTGAGGGCCAATGGTGGCATTGAGAGCACAATGCCTGCACAATCCTGTTTCTAGTAACACTGTCATCAACACGCAAATACTGACAGGGGAACGAGAATTTCTAGGATTTCTCTTCCAATTCCAGTAATTCCAATTGGTAACAGAACTGGAATGCTGAACACTTGGCAGACGCTCTGAAAACAATTTCAGGTTGGGCAGTGGAGATAAAATCATGACTAAACACTTGCCAAATCCACCCTCACTTACCTACTCTCAGCATTCCCTCCCCCAAATAATTCCTCAAATAAAAAACCGGATGAGTCAACCCAAATTTTAAGTATAGGAGTCAAAAAAACAAAAACAAAAACAGAAACTACTTTGCTGGGCAACTACCCAGGGCTTGGGCGTGAGCCACAGACACGCACTTGCTCTGTCTTCCACCCCCAGCGAGCAGATGTGCTCTTGTCGACGGCTGTGGAAGAGCTGACGGAGGGCGCAGGCATTCTGGAACCTGCCGAGTGCAGCAAGTCTTGGAGAACAGTAAGATCAGTACTAAGCCACAGCAGCTCACAGCCACATCTAGCACACCATCTGTCCTGAACGCACAGCTTCTTACATTACTAACCCCAAATCAAAGTCTTATGTTTGACGAGTTATATAAAATCATAGATACTGTGCAATTACTATCATGGCTTCCCTCTTTCAGCGATAAACCGCTTTCTCCCTCTTTTAGTAGCAAGTTCAACTTTCAAATAACTTGGGACAGTTCTCGATGGACAATGTGGGGGAATTACGGTAACACATTGAGGAATGCTTAGATAAAACCAAGTTTTAAACAGTTTCCTTCAAGCAGAACTTCTTCGACCCTTTGATATGATAGTATGTATTATTACAAGTCTCCAGGAGACTAGGTGAATAAAGTATGTAACCTTCCCAAAGCTTATGTACTCATGAACTTTTTTTTTTTTTAAATAAAGATTTTTGCCCTACAGCACATGCACTTGCTGGAGAGACAAGACAGTGAGAGGCAAAGTGATAAATCACTTCAGGGGTAAGGAGGGAGTGGTTGGCCACACCACAGTCCCCTCTCAGCTATTCTACTCCTGAGATTCTGGGCATGTACACACATCTGGCAGTATTTTCAAGCTGTCGGGTCCAGGACTCAAACTGTGGTTGACCATGGTGGTGAGGGTAGATGGTGAGGGGAAACCGCACCTTAACCACTATGCCACCTGCTGGCCCGTCATGAATCCTCTTCACTGATCATCTTGTGTGATGAAGGGTTTATGGAATGCACTGAGAAATGCTGGTTTAGATACATATTGGAATTTGCAAGCTAGCTTGGTACTTTATAACATTGATGCTATGAAAAATATCACGTTCTGAGCTTGTTTACCTACACATCACACCAAGTCGCATTTCAAGTTATTTCCTTCTTGTGTTTTCTTTCTTATTCCAAGGTAGGTGGGGTGACAGAAGGTACACTTAATTGGGTCTTACGCCACAATCCAACCTGAGACAGCCAGGATCACAGGCATGTGTGCATGCATCCACTGTGTACAAGGAGACCTAGGGACGAATACCTGGTCCTTCCTGTGTCTTCAGCATTGTGGAGCATTGTTACTGCT